TAAACCCTTAAAACCCAATCCACCGAGCAGCACCTTGCCGGTGGACAAGATGCGAAACTGACCTTGGCAGTGGATTCGTGGGGAGGAGTGATGCAAGCTTCAATTCAATGCGAAATGGGCGGAGCAGAATTTCAGTCGGCTTTTTTCAATGGCACGTTGTACGTGCACGTCCTGTGTAAAAGATGGCCGTAACCACTGTGCATGCCAACGTGCACCTCGGACTGTCGTGATTAGTTCGCCATAAAGCTTCAAACACAATCCCAAGCGAGGTGCAAGGAAATGGCAAGGTTCAGGTTGCAATTATCCGACAGCACCAGGACCAGAGCCCTCACGAAGCGAATCATCGAATCCCGAAGCTTTCGGCTTTATGGTAGGTTAGTTGAGACTGAAATGATCAGGACTCAGAGACTCAGAGACTCAGAAACTCGGGGACTCTGGTACTCTGGGACTCTGGTCCTGTGCTTCTCCAGAAAGTCCTGGCAGAGACTCCTGGGGCTTTGGGGCTCTGGTCCATTGGGCTGAAATGAAAAGGGCTCAGAGATTCAGAGACTCAGAGACTCAGGGACTCTGGGACTCTGTCTCTGTCTGGGCCGGAAGGCGCCGTGAGCTACTTCTCAGTCGTCGTAGTAGTACTCACGGATGAAGTCGCCGATGAAACTCGACACCGTGTCATGCTGCCAGAAGCCTGTGCAGCTGTTTGCCACCACGTACTCCCCTTTTTCGTGGTCAAAGAACTGCACATTCGAGTCCGGGCTGTGCTGGTGGAACTCGTACGTTTGGCCATCGTCCACGTAGTAGAACGTGATCTTGCCGTTGTAGGCTTCCTGCCAGACCCATCCGTGCGGACAGGTTTTGAACGGCCTGTCGCCCTGGACAACAAATCCAGGCCTGCTGCGACGAGGCTCGAAATTCTGCCCTGCCGGTGCCTTCGTCACCAGTGACTTCTTGATCTCGGCGGGCACCAGGTCCATCGCGAAGAGCTGCAGCACGTTCGGCGGTCGCCGCCCTCCCCGGCAGTACATGTTGTCCGGGTAGTCGCGCAGCTCCAGGAACAAGGCCTTCTTGACACCGGCCTCCTCGCAGTGGATGCCGGAGTGGTACTTGAACTTCGCAATGCCCTGCAGGCTCGGCGCCTCCATTGGAAACACACCCAGTACCTGGAACTCCTGCATTCCAGGGACATCGGCCTTGCGGATCCAATCGACGGTCATCTCGCTGCGGGGCCTCTTGGTCCTGAGTCATTTTGCATACAACCAGACCGATTTTAAATTTTTATAGAAATTTTTCCCACTTTTCGAAGCCAAGGTTCATGGCATAGATGAACTGACCCTTGGCTTGCATGTAGAAAGTCGTGGTGGGCGAGCAGTCAAAGAAGAAGGACTCTTCGGAGTTCGGGGGGGCGCCGAGAAGATGCTCGTAGGGCCCACGTGCCATGTAATCCGAGTGGTCAATCTTGAGCGAGCAGTACGTCGGAAGCACATCCTCCATGATACGGCCTTCATCGGGGAAATGCTGGGCCAGCAGTGACTTGTTCAGGGCCGCGGGGCTGCGATCCGGGATCCTCATCTGTGAAGGGAGGACCAATCCTCGCACTTTCCAGAGGCCAGCCTGCATGAACATGCCTTTGACTCCCTCCATGATGTCGAAGGCGTGCCGGAAGAACGGGTACCTGGGTCAGAACAGGACATGTGCAACAACAACCGCCTAGAACTTACACGTTTGCTTTCATCAGCTTGATATCTCAGGCATGTTGCGTGTTGTACGAGCCGCCCGGAATCCTGGCCATCAGGAACGGCGGGTTGTTCTCGCCGTAGATGTGGTAGTACAGCTCGTGCCCGTTCATCCTGGCCCAGCCGAGCAGCGGCCCATGGGGAACGACACCTTTGTACAGCTGGCGGCACCACACCTCGAGCACCGAGAGATCGTACTGGGATTCGGCACTCAGACTCAGCATCGACCCATCGTTGTGCATCGCCACATACTGGTCCCGAAGGTCGATCAGCTTGGTCTTCAAACCACTCTCCAGTGTACAAGTCGGCCACAGTGTCGCTGGGTCGTAGTTGCTGATGGCCGCAGAGTAAAAGATTTTCACGTACCCGAGGTCCTTCACGGGGTCGCCGTGCGGGTCCCAGCCAGGAAGGGTGCCGCCGCTCTGCAGGATGTGCTCCACTTGGCTTGTCGGCATGGATGTGATGTCCTGCTCCGACTCACCAACCTGGTCGAGCCGTGGCTGGGCTGCCGCTGTTGGTGTAGCAGATCGTGTCGCCGACATTGCAGAAGCCCTTCTCGACTGTATCTGCAGCAAGCCCTCATAGGGCCGTAGACTCTCGAGGTTCGCAGGCTCTGAGTCTGGGACTCTGGAGTCGTCGGGGACTCTGGAGTCGGGGACTCTGGGCTCAGAGGGTGGGACTTCGGACACCCGCACAAACTCAGAGTCTACCTCGGAACCTTCCTCCACGATCGGCACATCGTCCTCCACTTTGGCTTTCGTCGCCTTTAGCTCTGCCACTGGCGAGTCTGGCCCAGGCTTTGTCACTGGCGAGTCTGCGCTGCTCGTCGCCGGCCCCACCGGTGGGTCCCCGGTGTCTGTCTTCGGGGTCGGTGTCTGCGTACTCGGGCCACTGCGCAAATTCAGGACGGTCAGGATGGAGATGGCGAAAGTGCCAGTCTGTGTCGTGAACTTGACGACAGGGAACGGCTGATCGGGCATCATCGTTGCCTCGGTGAGTGAAATCAGTTCGTTGTTCTCGGTGGTGACCACGGCAAACTTGACATCCCCACCTGAGGGCACATGACACTGACTCAAGGGAAACATCATGAATTAAAACCCTCAACCCAAAACTGTAGTAGACACTCGTACACTTTGATCCCAGTCCTGCCTGCGACATCCACCGGCAGCTGTACTGAGCTAGGCTCGCAAGACTTATCCTTGAGGACAGACATCGCGATCCAATCGCCGTTCAGCTGCGCTGCCAGCACGACCTCGGCACGCTGGAAGCATGCGACGGTCCCTCCGCTGGTCACCTGCATGAAGAATTGCGAGTTCACTGCCCCCATGGCGGAAGTCAGGAGTCTGGGACTCCGGGACTCGGGGACAAAAAGTCAGGAGTCGGTGACTCCTGGGACTCGGGGACTCTGAATCCAAGCCCAAATGCATTGGCATGAAGCTGTGCTCATGATGCTTGCGTCTCACTGCACTCGCTACCAGATGCTCTTCAGCACTGCATGACTGCTGCAAAAAAAACCTTAAAGCCCAAACCTAAACCCTAGACCCTAACTAAACCCCTAAACCCTACACCCCAAAGAAATACCCTAAAGCACCATAAAGCCCAAACCTCAAAGCTTCACATCATCATAAAGAAAGCCTAGCAAACGGACTGAGGTCGTGACGTTGGGCACGGCGAACTCGACAAGCACCGACTCGACTGCCCTGGCATTTCTTATTGGCTCTGGGGCTAGGGGTTTAGGGGTTTAGGGTGTAGGGCAGGGTTTAGTATAAAGTGTACAAAAATACTTTTTTTCAGTTTAAGCCCTTTTCAAAGATTCACACCGACCACATGTGATGCTATCCATGTCCAGTCTATTGTTATGCTAATCTTAGCAGGACACGGATGGCATCACGTGTGGTCGTTGTGCATCTTCGAAACTGATATAAACTATCTATTACCATACATAGCTCTTAAAAACCCGACCCTAATTCTAAACCCTAAACCCTAAACCCTGAAACCCGTTTCAAAGATTCACACCGCCCACATGTGATGCTATCCATGTCTAGTCTACAGTAATGCCAGTCTTAGCAGGACATGGATGGCATCACATGTGGCAACAGTTGTGCATCTTTGAAACTGATACAAACTATTAGAATATATAGTACCATAGTAATAATAGCTCTTAAGAAAAGCCCAAGCCTAAACCACAACCCCAAAAAGCCCTAAACACACAAAAGACTGGCTTAGGGTTTGGTATTACCTGAAGCGCAAGCCCAAAATGCTGATAGGTTTCACAAAGATGGGATTAGTTTCTAAGCTGCATCATTGATTGGTGGTAAGGATTATGAAACAGAGCCTGGGGTTCCACTGACCTGGCATTTCTTATTGGGGTTTAGGGTTTAGGGCATAGGGCTCTAGGGCTAAACCTTACACGCTAAACCCTAGGGGTTTAGGGGTTTAGGGTGTAGGGTTTAGTTTTAAAGTGACCCTTTTCAAAGATTCACACCGACCACATGTGATGCTATCCATGTCCAGTCTATTGTTATGCTAATCTTAGCAGGACACGGATGGCATCACATGTGGTCGGTGTGCATCTTCGAAACTGATATAAACTATCTATTCTCGAGGTAGTCAGGCTTGTCATTGTGTGTTGTCTACCCAGTTCATATTTAATTTGCTTGTTGATATTGTTCTCAAAGCCTGACTACCCAAGACCCCACACCCTAAACAACCCAACCCGAAGAACTCCCTCCTTAATCCTCCCGAACCCTTTATGTGGCAGGTGTCCTGCCTGGCCTGCCTGGTGTGGGCCCAGACCTGAGTGGCCACATGCAATCATGCTGCACATTGCTCTCAAGACATGTGTTTGACACATGATCATCAGCTGGCTCTGAAGGCGCTTACAACTGACGAAGATCTTATCCAGCACGACACAACTAATTGACAACAGCAAAGTCATGATCGTCAGTCACACGACAAGCATGCACAACCATTCGCATGTTTGTGACACTCAGAACTCAGAATTCCAACATTTCTAGACTTTTCTTCTAGCTCTCTGATTCACACATGGCCAGTCTGTGAGACTCTCAGAGTCGCAGAGTCACAGATTCTCAGAGTCCCAGACTCTCAGAGTCACAGATGTTCACGCCTCCACCACCTCCGCCTCCGGCTACTCCTCCGGATCCCAAGCCGGGGCCCCCACTGGGCCCCCCACCGGGCCCCCCACCGGGTCCCCCACCGGATCCCCCACCAAAGACCTCACCGGGTCCTGCTGAAGCAACACCCAAGTGGATGCCGACGCCACCGCCACCGGCAGCCAAGGTGAAGGTGTCATCTACACCAAGAGATGGATCCTATCTTCGGCGGCAAGAAAAATTCAGAAGAGAGGAGCAGCTCGCGGAAGAGCTTGCAACCGAAAAGAAGCTGCACGAGCAGAGACTGCAGGAAACAAAGGAGCATTATGAGGAGAAGTTGGAGGAAGCCAAGAAACAATACGATCTGGCGGCGGTGAAGAACCTGCAGCTTCAGGCAAAAGTGGGTGCATCTGAAGCGGAGAAACGCTATGACCAAAGGCTGGCAACCGCAGTCAGTAACTTGAGAGAGCAGATCAGTGTGGAGAAGAAAGCAAAGGAGACGGAGCAGAAGACATGTGCGGACCTCGAAGCCTGCAACAAGAGGTATGTGGATGCAAACGGAAAGTTCGCAACGGAGCACCAGAACTGGATCCAGCGTGGTCAAAATGCAGAAGCTGGAGAAAAGGAAGCCAAACGCCAGGCGACTGTGGCCAAAAAGCAACTGGAGGCGCTGCAAGTGATAAACACTCTATCTAGAAGCCCATTAAGCATATTCCGCTGATTGTCTCATAATGGATGGCAGGCTGAACAAAAGAAGTACCAGGAGCTGAAGACACAACACGATGCATTGGAGGCCGACTGTCACCGGGAATTATACCTAACACTGAAAGGTGCAGGCAGACTAGAGGGCGAGCCCCTGAAAGAAGTCTTTCAGTGGCTTGCCCTCTAGTTTCCCTTCACCTCTCGAGTGTGCACATGCCAGGTACTTCTGCAGAAGCGAGCTGCGCAACTCAACCCGCCGTCCGAGGCCAGGGCTTCTCGGGGTCGTCAACTGCTGTCTTGGATGATGTGGATGATGGGGCCTGAACAGGAATCTGCTGCGCCAAAGAGAAAGAAAAAGGGCTGAGTCTCAGATTCCCTGAGTCTCAGATTCCCTGAATCTCAGGATTTTAGTGAAGAGTTTCACGTTTTTGAGATGCCAGTTCACTCGACAGGGAAAACTGATCTTGAAATTGCCAGCATGCACTCTGCCTGCACTCCATGCGAACTGACTTTAAACCAAATCCTGAATCGCCAATGCACTGAGGCCGGCACCATCTGCACTGGAAGGGCGCCGGCACGTTTGGAGGGGGGGGGGGGTTGAGACTTCAGGCGGGGCCGGTTCGATTGGGGTTGCTCCGTGGCTGTGTGGGCTTGTGATATTGTTCAGTGTTGCTGCCTTGAGTTTATTGTTGTCGCTGTTGTTGTCGTGGTCGTTATTGTTGTTGTTGATGCTGTCGTCGTCACTGTTACTGATGTTGTTTGTTGCTGTGGTCTTGTGGTTGTTGCTGTTAGCTGCGGTTTTGCTGCTGTGGTTGTTGTTGCTGCTGTTCTCGTCGTTGTCGGTGTCGTTGGTGTTGTGTTGTTGCTGCTGCTGTTGATGGTTGTTGTTGTTGTTGTTGTTGTTGTTGTGGTTGTTGTTGTGGTTGTTGTTGTTGTTCTTGTTGTTGTGGTTGTGGTTGTGGTTGTGGTTGTGGTTGTGGTTGTTGTTGTTGTTGTGGGTTTTGTTGTTATTGTTGTTGCTAGTGTTAATGTGTTTGGTGTTGTTGCTGCTGCTAATGCTACTGCTGTCGTTAATGGTGTTACTGTGGTGTTGTTGTTGTTGTTGTGTGTGCTGCTGCTGCTGATGTTGTGGTTGGTTGTTGTTGTGTGTTGTTGTTGGGGTGTTGTTGTTGTTGTTGTTGTTGTGGTTGTTGTTGTTGTTGTTGGTGTTGTGGTTGTTGTTGTTGTGTTGTTGTGTTGTGTTGTGGTGTTGTTTGTTGTGTTGTTTCGTGTTGTTGTGTTGTTGTGTGTTTTTTTTCCCTTTGTTTGTCTGTCTTGTTTTTTTTTGTGCTTTGTTGTTTTTTTTTTGTCATTTTGTCCTTTTTCTGTTTTTGTGTTTTTGTGTGTTTTTGGTGTTTTTTGTTTGTGTTCTTTGTTGTTGTCTTTTTTATTTTCTTGTGTTTTCTTTTTTTTTTGTTTATTTTTTGTTTGTTTTGCTGGATGGTGCGGGGTTTTTTTGGTTTTTGTGTTGTTTTTTTTATTCTGTCTGTTTCTTTGTTTTTGTTGTTGTGGTTGTTGGTTTGTGGTTGTTGGTTGTTGTTGTGTTGTTGTTGTTGTTGTTGTTGTTGTTGTTGTTGTTGTTGTTGTTGTTGTTGTTGTTGTTGTTGTTGTTGTTGTTGTTGTTGTTGTTGTTGTTGTTGTTGTTGTTGTTGTTGTTGTTGTTGTTGTTGTTGTTGTTGTTGTTTTGTTGTTGTTGTTGTTGTTGTTGTTGTTGTTGTTGTTGTTGTTGTTGTTGTTGTTGTTGTTGTTGTTGTTGTTGTTGTTGTTGTTGTTGTTGTTGTTGTTGTTGTTGTTGTTGTTGTTGTTGTTGTTGTTTGTTTTGTTGTTGTTGTTGTTGTTGTTGTTGTTGTTGTGGTGTGTTGTTGTTGTTTGTTGTTGTTGTTGTGTTGTTGGTGGGTTGTTGTTGTTGTGGTTTTGTTGTGTGTGTCCACGAGTTGTTGTCGTTGTTGTTTTGTTGTGTGTGTTGTTGTTGTTTGCTGATGTTGTTGTTGTTGTTGTTGTCTGTTATTGTCGTTGTCATTGTTATTGTCATTGTTGGTTTTATTGTCAGTGTTATTGTTATTGTTATTGTTAGTGCTGCTCTTGCTGTTGTTGTTGTTGTTGTTGTTGTTGTCGCTGTTGTTGTTGTTGTTGTTGTTGTTGTTGTTGTTGTTGTTGCTGTTGTTGTTGTTGTTGCTGCTGCTGGGTGTTGTTGGTGGCATGGCACGGTGTAGCTAGCTATTGGAAACTTTTGGTTGCAGAGTTGCAGGATGTTGAGTACAAAGGTCGGGTGATTGTTGTTACAGCCGCTTGTTGATGGTTTCGTTACAGGTGGAGGCTGCAGTGCTAATGTTGTTGTCGGTGTTGTTTACTTCTTTGTAGTATCGTCGTTTCTGTTGTGCTGTTGCTGTCATAGGAACACCAACAGCAATGGCAACAGCAGCAACACCAGCAGTGCCATCAACAACAAGGGGTCAAAATAGCAGCAGCATTAAGACTAGCACAACATAAATATAGAAATAACGACAGCCAGACTAAGACTAGCGCTAATGCAACGAGGGCGACCATAATGATAGCCAGACGAGCCATGGCAGTTAGATTGATATGGAAGACCAGCGCAGCAATAACAATAACAATATCAAAATAATAGACAGCCAGAGGCAGGCATGCATGTCATGTCATGTGCCACTTGAACAGCGGCCATGTGTGCACCACTTGATCAGTGGCTGTGTCGTGATATGCCGTGCGCCACTTGAGCAGCGGCCATGATGTGTGCCACTTGAGCAGCGGCCATGCATGACATGAAACCAACACTGAAATGCATGCATGACGACTCCTGAGGCCTGGATGACAAAGCTCCCCCGTTGCTGAATGATCTGACAGGGGGGACAAAGAATTTAAAGTGTTCTGTAAGGCTCGTGAAAGAGATTAAGGGTTAAGGGGTTTAGGGCTTATAAGGCCAAGGTTCAGCGAGTTTCTTTAGAGGTAAGAAGTTTAGGATTAAGAGGTTTAGGGTTTAAAGGGTAAGGTTTCAGGGAGTTCCTATAGAGGTCAGAGGTTCAAGTTGAAGGGGTATCACTAGGGTTTAAAGGGTAAGAAGGTTTCATTTCAGGGAGTTCCTATAGAGGTAAGAGGTTTAGGTTGAAGGGGTTTAGGGTTCACAGTAAGGTTTCGGGAGTTGCTTCAGATGTGAGCTTTCCAAAACAGGGTTTCGGTAGTCTTATTACAGTAAAGTAAAGTATGTTTAAAGGCTTAGGGTGTAAGAATGTTAATTATGCTTGTTATCAAAAAATGCACACCCTGCCACATGTGATGTAGTTACTCTACTAATGATGTCATCACATATGGAAGTGGAGTGCATTTTTTTGCTAGGTCCAAAATGTTACTGCCACTGAGAAATGGACACAAAATACCACTGAAGCCCTAGGGATGTATGAAATTTTCGCATGATCTTCTAAAAGCAGTTGTAAAAATCTGGGATGCAAATATTCCTTGATGCTTTCAAAGTCTGATCACCTTTTTTCGGCCGTCCTGCCCCCCCCCCCCTCTGTCCCCAGGGGTCGCATAAAGCATGACACAACAAAGCCCTAACATCCCAAACGGCCCCCCCCAAGCACCTTCCATGTCAAAACAACAACCCAAATCCAGGCTACAGGAAACAAACACCAGGCTACAGGAATCAAGCAACAGAGGTTGAAGGCGACAATCCGTCGGCTGTGGCAAGATGACTTGACCCCGCTCGGGGCTGATGCGGCAGCACAGGAGCTCTCCGTGATGTCCTTGGCGGCGGTGTGGCAAGCTGCTCAAGCGCTGCAAACGCAATACGCCTCTCGGCGAGCTCGTATGGAGGAAGACCCGAACAAGATCCCGGAGCTCTCCCAGGAGGACCAAGTTTCGCGATCGCTTCGTGAGGGTTCACCCCGACGTCATCCTGATCGACGCCAAAGAGCCGCATAAGAAGTTCGTCGAACGGCTGTCCCGCGATTTCCTGATCCATGGGATAGTTCCATTCTACGAGCCGGCCGAGATCAGGACCCGATCGGATGTTATAGTGGTCAAGTCTGGACTTTCTCGGAACGCAGAAGATCTCCTGTCCATCTCTAAGGCTGATCAACCCGAGCCGGTCACCGATGTCACGACTCTGTTCAACCGTCTGCATGCTTTCTTCATGGCGCTCGAATACCTCAACATTTGCGCGTTCTCACGCACCGAGGGCCCGCTGAAGTACTTGCAGGAATTGGAGCAGTTCCGCTCGGAATGTCCCGGCTTGCCATTCCTCATGGCGGCGGACCGAGCTATCCGGAAGAAGATCTTTCGCCTGCTGTCTGAACAGAGAGCGACGTACATCTCGTTCTCGCAGGCCCTGGTCGAGGTGCTCACCAACCACAAATATTTGTGGAACGATGCTCGCACTTCGGCGACTCTCTCGAAGATGGAACAGAACCGCCAGCAGCTCGCGAATAACCCTGATCAGGTCAAGGAGGATGAAGTTCCTCCTCCTCCCCACACCCCGTTCAAAAGGCCTCGGGGCGGAGGGAAGAAGAAGAAGCGACTGCAGACTCCTTCGAAGGACGATCCGCCGAAGAAGGGCGTTAAGGAAGATCCCAACAAGAAGCTCAAGCGGGACAATCGGATCCCAGAGAAGGAGTGGAAGCTCATCGCCGATGCGGCCAAGAAGGTGCAGGGCGCTCGCCGGTGCCACTACTTCAACTCCTCGCTCGGTTGCGTGTCCGGCGACAACTGTCGTTTCAAGCACCTGTGCATGGTCTGCGGGGAGCCGCATGCCATGATCAGCAACCACTGATCGGTTCCCAGCGAATCTGATAGTGCTCCTCACCTTACCTTGTCCGGCGCGCGTGGGGGCTGTGATCTGGAATCCCGCGCACAAGATCTCCTGAAAAAGCGAGCTCCGCTTCTGCGTGAGGAGATCCTCGACTTGGCTACAGAGCTCCCGGTTCAGGGTCAGCATAAGGCTGCCGACGAACGAGGCGGGGCTTTCTTCGCGGGAGCCTATCGCCACGGAGGCATTACAAGACTGTGATCGTCCTGTCACTCATGGCCGTGGTCGATCAAGGCGATCACCACGTACATCGCTCAACAGGCTCCTGAGGCGCTCTTCACGTCGTTCGCCGTCCTCTACGATCAGGAGGCCGAACCTCACCGTGACTCGGGCAATGAGCCGATCCCGAACATTGTTTTCAAGCTCGGGTCGTTTGAAGGAGGCGGGCTCTGGATCGAAGACCCGCTCGGGCCCGATGTGAGAGAAATCGAGGGACGCTCCATCCCCGGTTTCCTCACCGACTTCGTTGACAATAAGATCCTCTTCAACGCTAAGGAAGCTCTGCA